TACACTATAAAAAAAAATAAACATGTTTTTCATGATTCTTTGAATTTGAAAAAAGCAGCATGCTCTGTCCTCCCCTTTTGAACAGTCACCAAAATTAAAGCCTGTGAGAAGTGGTAGGATGAAGAAGTCTGTTTCTTCCTGTTGTGGATTGTATCGTGTTGCCCAAAATAGATATGTTCAAGTCCCAACCCCTGGTACCTGTAAATGTGACCTTGTTTGGAAATAGAGTTTTTGTAGATATAATCAAGTTAAGATGAGGTCATACTGAAATAGGGCTATCCCTAAATCCAATGTCTGGTGTTCTTATAAGAAGAGAAGAGATACAGACACATAGGCAGAACACCATGTGAGGAAGGAGGCAGAGATTGGAGTGATGCATCTACAAGCCAAGGAATGCCAAGAGTTGCCAGCAGCCACCAGAAGCTGAGAGAGAGGCATGGAATACATTCTGCCTCTGAACCCCCAAGAAGGAGCCAAGCCTGCTGACACCTTGATTTCAGACTCCTAGCCTTTAGAACTGTGAATAAATCTGGCTTGTTTTAAGCCACCCAGTTTGTGGTACTTTGTCAAGGCAGCCCTAGGAAGCTAATACACTCCTTTTTAAAAATAGCATTTCCAAACTAGTTTGACCCTGAAACCTTTTCTCTTATAATACTTATTGACAAGCAGAAAACACAATTTTGGGAACTCTGCCTCAGGAAAAACAGGTTAAAGTTCCATCCAACTGTAAGGGGCTAATCAGACATTTTAGCCAGAGGATTTGTTGCATTTGTTGCATTGTCTCCCATTTCCCTACCCCTCATCCCTTTCTGGGAGCTGGTTCTGACTGGACTAACATTTACTTAGCCAAGAAAAAAAAAATCAAAATTCTAGCTTCCTATAATCCAGCTTTTTACCATCAAGAAACTATGCAGGAAAGGGCTAAAATTACGGGCAGAGCCTGTAGTTATACCAAAGCATGATTGGGAGACAGGATTAGTCACCCCCACAATCTTCATCATTTCTTCAAATAAACATATACAATTTCAGTAAAGACACTGCACTACTTTGCAAATACAATTTCAAGACAAGTCCTTTAGCCCCACCCCATCTACCAGATTGCCACTCCTAAGCCCCCCACCCTCCCATTTAGAAATTTTTCAGCAGGAGTTGAGAAATGTTAATGTCCTTGTGTCAAATTACTACAAAATGGAATTCCATGCACCCTAAATCCTAGTAATTCATATATTGCTAACCATGGTTTAATCACCTAAATTAGCTTGAGTTTCATATACTGACACTTCCTTGTAGTAGATCTAATTGTAGTTTGTAATTTTTTCTCAGAAGCTCATCTTTGCAGCTGTTATTCTGAGGGAGTCCCCTGTGCCCTGAGGTGGGAAAGTGTTCCCAAAGAGACTTCGCTTTTTCTCAGGCCCTAGAGGTTCAGGATCTTTTTGAGTTCACTTCTCGGTTTGGCATCGATATTCCAATCGGGTAAGTTTACGTCTAGATCTCACTTCCACCTGCAATGGGTTGGGATATACACTTCTCACAGGAGCCTTTTTTTCACATGCATGTATCCAGACCCCAGGCTTATATGCCAACTACATCCTGGACTGTTCTGCCTGTGTGTGTCACAGGTTCCTCAAAGTCAACTTGCCCAACATCGACCTCCTCCCAGAAAACCTGGACTTCCCTAGCATTCTTTATTTTAGTGAATAGCACAGAGCTGCCACATATGGTTGTGTAGGAAGATCACTGCACAATGGACAAACGAGGCTGAAATCCAGCTTGCACACAGCTCACCACGCTACACATCCATGGGGCTCTGTCCACTGAGAGGGCATGTTTCTCTAGTTGTACAAAGATGGCCACATAGACTGGAGTTGATCCTGGCAACTACGCCACCATCCCCCATATTGCCACTTTTTCTTCCCCCATACCTTTTCCTCACCCATAACCAAGTCATCCCAGAGTCTTACTGCTTTTACCTCCTACTTAGCCCTCAAACCCACCCCATTTGTGCCACCTCCACTGTAAGTTGCAAGATCTGGCAAATAAAAATGCAGAGCTCCCAGTTAAATTTGAATTTCAGATAAAGAACAAATAATTTTTAGTATAACTGTGCCCCATGCATCCTCCCTTTCTAACAGAACCCCATTTTTACACCAGCCCACACTGTGCCAAGTCAAAAGAACACTTTTCTAGCCAGATGATCACACCCACGCTCCCACCTTTATCACTGGAAGCTGGGTCCGTCTGCTGCCCCCACCCTCTCCACATTTGGTAGCAGCAGACACATTTCTTCAGAAAATAAGGCATTGGGATATTTGGCTGCTTATTTGATATGATGCTGAGCCACTTCATGCACACCAAGAAATGTTTGTTTTTCGTGGATGTATTCTTACAAGGTTCTGGTTTCGGAGCCTCAGTATTGTCTCTTGAGGCAGTAGTGGCCTCCCCATTCCTCAGAGTGGGATCAGGCCATAGTCCCTCCTGGAGTTCCACAGCATTGGAAGGACATCAGGCACCTCACATGGGCTCCCACGTCCTTTCCCAGAGTCCACTGAGAACTTGGCCCGTAGACCCCCTAGAAAGGGCACTATCCCACATCTGGCATGTGGCTCAGTCCTGGGTGGAGGTATTTATATACTCAGGTACTCTCTCCTGGTTTTCCAGCCAGGAAAGAAAAGCCTCTCTAGGCCAGTGGCTTGATCTTGAGACTCCAACTCTAAAATACTCCACCAGTCAAGTCCTATAAACGGTGATATTACCTACCTAGCTTTTGAAGGCCAAATGCCCAAGAGCAAAAGGAAACAGTCTAACCAAACTGAATACCTCATACTTGAAATGTGGACAATGAGAGGGATCCTACAGAATATTCATAAATCTTTTGTCGAATTTTAGAAGTTTAATACCCTAATGCCTTAATATTTCAGTAACAGAGTGCAGAGACTGTAAAAATAGTTTTGGAATTGTCTTTATTTAGCTGATACAGATTTTAGTGCCACTAGCTGTATAACACAGCGTTTCCTCCTGTTCACAGAGGCCATTTTCGTTTGTCCCAGGATCTGAAATTAGAATACCTATGTGCAATGCAAAGTTGTTACTCTAATGAATTTAATTGTAAATAGTCATATACAGCCTGTTTCTATTAAAAGTAAGAAAGGAACACACACACCCCGCACAAACACAAGTATTTATTTACCAAAGAAAATAAAGTGAGGTGAAGAGGATTTTCACATCTAACAGGTTCAACCTCTTTGTGACTGGAAAGAAGAAAGAGCTGTAACAGCTGTGACATGCACATGGCTTTTCTCTATACCTTCATCCCTCCAAAACACCAGAATACCTTCTGAGAGCAGTTTCCTCTGCCACCTCGATAACTCCATCAGGAAATTCCTGCAGAATCTTTTTTTATTCACTCTGTGTTCTCCATTATCCACTCACCGGGTGGCTGCAGTGGACTTTTTTACATTTAAGTAATAGAAGCACAAAAAATATTTTTTTTTTCAGAAGTTAATGTATGCCAGAAAAATCTCTAGGCAACCTTTTTTTTTTTTTTTCTTTCTTTCTTGGTTTTATTTTCTGGATTTTGTTGGGGGTAGGGGTGGTCCTTGTGTCTCAGGGTCCAGAGAATTAGCACAGATGTATGCTGATGTTAACCCAAGAAGGGGTCAGACACAGTTACTGGTGGTAGGCACCACATTCTCTGCTAGTTAGTCTAAAGGCACATATGAAAGTAGCATGAATGTCCTGTGTTCTAAACCTGCTTCATTCACTTTGGCTGTGTCTGGAGACAACAAACGTTTTCACAAGGAAATAAAGCCTCATGTCTCGGGCACTTTGAGTCTCAGCATGGGCCCCAATCTCCCTTTCCACTTTAAGGTTTTGGGGAGACCAGATGTGCAGCCCTCACTAGCCAACCAATGGGGTCTCCTCAGTGGAGAAGGAGATTGGCTGCAAAAATGCTGAGAGGCATTAGTTTGACTGTCATAGCCTGACTGTATAGGGTTGACTTTTGTTCCCATCCTTTCCTCCAAGGTTTGCTTCTTGCCTGATTGATGGGAGGCCCTAAAACTCTTGATTGGCTGTCACTGAGCTCTCACCTGCTTGGCTGTGTAGACAGACAGTACTGAAGTGGGCAATGGAGCTACAGGGCGATAGTACTAATTACCTGGTGTAGATCCAGCTTTCACGTTTTTCTGACACATACCGAGTGAATATTAGAGAATACCAAAAGGCATTAATAAAATGAAAATAGTTTCACCAAAAATAATGAAAGCTCACTGCTATGGTCTGAATGTTTCTGTCTTCCCAAAGTTCCTGAGTTAAAACCTAACCCTCAAGGTGATTACATTAGGAGGAGAAGCCATTGGGACATGATTAAGTCATGAGGGTAGAGCTAACAAATGTGGACAGAGTGAGAAGCACCATCAGTGAACCAGAAAGCAGGTCCTCACCAGACTCGGAAGCTGCCAGTGCCCTGATCTTGGACTTTCCACCCTCCAGAACTATGAGAAATAAATTCCTGTTGTTTATAAGCCACCCAGTTTATGGATTTTGTTATAGAAGCCTGAACAAATTAAGACATTCATGTAATGTCTGCATTTCACCATTGATCTGAGGGCATCCTTAGAAAATTAAATATAACTGAATAAAACTGAATGTGGACTGTATATTAGTAGTGTGTACCCATGTTAAATTCCCTAAATTTGACATTTGTATTGTGGTTGTTAGAGAATATCCTTGACCTTAGAAGGTACATGCTGAGGTATGTAGGTAGAAAGGGTTACAATATCTGTCACTCACTCTCAAACAGTTCAGCAAAATAATAATAGCAATAAGGGGGGGGGCAGAGAGAGAGAGAGAGAGAGAAAATTTTGGCAAATGTTAATAATTGCAGAATCTAGGTGAAGCATATGCAGGTACTGGTTGTATGATCCTCACAACTTTTCCATAAGTTTGAAAGTTTTCAGAATATAAAGTTTAAAAAAAGCAAAGCACTGTGACTCCTCTTTAGAGTTAAACATTTGATTTAGCACAGTCACACTGTGAAAAACCATCAACTGGAAGCAGCTTGCCAGAGTGCAGCCAATGCATGCCCTATGGGCCTGTTTCTGCTCAGGATTGTCTTGGAAAGTCCAAAGTACCTGTGGATAGAAGCACGGAGTTAAAGATTGTGCTCCATTACAAGACTAACAGTTCTCAACCAACACATTCGACCCTTGATGCTTGGCAATAACATCTGCCCAAGGGACCACCTCGGGGCAGAAGACACATCCACTCTGGGAGAGGCTTTGCCTTCTCTCCTCTCCATTGTGAAGCCTCTCAAATGCCTGTTCTTCTGGACTCCTCCAGTTTTATACTATTCTATGAAGGTTCTTCAACCCACCAGAAGGGAATAAAATGTGCATTAAGGGTGCCGCTGGCTGCCAATCGTCAAGCTCCTCAACTTCTCTTATCTCATTCTTCAAATTGTTGGCCTTCTCCTTCACCCAAAAAGGCAAGCTATAGGAATAAGACAACACTCTGAGTTTGTGTTTGTGAGAGTGGATAAGGCACTACATGCTCCAAAAGTAAGAAGACCTCCAATTTAGGAGACCAGTTTTAAAATAAAATACTATGTTAGTTGTTTGTTGTACCATTTGCCCCTACCCCAAGTCCAGATCTCTTTTGGGCCCTTCTCTGCTGTGACCCCTGCAGCTAGCATCATCTCAGCTCCTTCCCGCCCCTGCGTTTGAGCTGGGCTTGACTAATGGGAAGCGAACAGGAGATCAGAAGGTGGGAAGAGAGAGGGTGGGGTACTTCTGAACTAGTTCCCCCACTTCTGCCCTATTTCCCATGGCAACCCAGTTCTGGCAGTGACAGTACTCAGCAATGCCACAACTCCTGCTGGGCAGCTCTTCTTCCAGGCTCCAGCTCTCACGTTTCTGCAAACCATGATCCCTCTTCTTCAGACCTAGAAGTAGTAGAGCTTTCCACTGTCGTGAGCCTCTGGGTGCTTCACCTTCCTGTGGGGTTCCCCCAACACACGTGTAAATAGTCCCTTCCATTAAGCTGTTGTCAGAATTCTAGCTGAGGGTGCTTTCTGCTTTCTGCTGGGACCTTGACTAATGCAGACACCCAGAGTTCTCTCAGGTGCACTGAGACTTGAAAGGGCACATGCTGGGCTGTCTGTGTGTGTTCCAAGAGGGAGTAGGAAGTGTGACTCCTGGGATTAGTTGGAGCAGGGAGATAGAGAATTCTTTTATCTTTTGGCAGCTAGAATTCTTGTACTTTTCAGGAGTAACATGCTGTGACTGAGAAAATGCCCGGATAAAATTTCTGGAGTTAAGGAAGTCCCTGCAAGAGGGTTACTACATAGGTAATAGGTGGGAGTCAAGGTTATCATTTAAAGCTAACAAGCCAGATAGTAGAAGCCCAGGTATGAAGAGCAGGACTAAAGGCAATATATAAAAATATTAGCATAAAGAACTATTCAAACAAAACACAAGCATTTTTTTTTTCTTTTTGTCTTTTTTCGTGACCAGCAACGGATCGCAACCCTCAGTGTCGCGCCCGTACCGGACCGGGACCGGCAACGGGATCGCAACCCTCGGTGTCGCGCCCGCACCTCGCTCAGCCAGTGAGCCGCCGGTCTGTATGTGGGATCCGAATCCTCGGCGGGAGCGCCACTGCACTCCCAAGCAGTGCACTGTAGCAGTGTGCCACCGGGCCGGCCCAAAACACAAGCATTTTTAAATATCAAAAGAAAGAATTTCTTGGGCTGCCCTGGTGGCGCACTTGGTAGAGTGCGGCGCTTGGGAGCGCGCTGGTGCTCCCGCCGAGGGTTCGGATCCCATATGGAGACCGGTCCGCTCACTGGTTGAGCGCGGTGTGGGCGCGACACCGAGGGTTGCGATCCCATTGCCGGTCACGGTGCAGGCACAACACTGAGGGTTGCGATCCCATTACCGGTCACGAAAAAAGACAAAAAAAAAAAAAGAAAGAAAGAAAGAATTTCTTAACTTTTGTTGAAGCAATCGAAGAAAACAGTGACTCACAGTAAATACAATGTAATACATATAATAAATGTAACAAAACAATGTGATAGAACTAAAATCAAATATATCAGTCAAATCAATAAATGCAAATGGCCTTAATTCACCTATTAAAGGAAAACATTTTCAAAATGCTCAACATCATTAAGCATCAGGGAAATGCAAATCAAAACCACATTGAGATATCATCTCACCCCAGTTAGACTGGGTATTATCAAAAACACAGAGAATAACAAATGCTAATGAACATGTGGAGAAAGGGGAACCCTCCTACACTGTTGGTAGGATTGTAAATTAGTGCAGCCATTATGGAAAACAGTATGGAGATTCCTCAAACAGCTAGAGATAGAACTGCCATACAATCCAGCAATCCCACTACTGGGTATACACCCAAAGGAAAATGGAAATCTTCATGTCAAAGGGATACCTTCACTCTCATGTTTATTGCAGCTCTGTTTACAGTAGCCAAGAGTTGGAACCAACCTAAAGGTCCACCGATGGATGACTGGATAAGGAAAATGTGGTATATATACTCAGTAGAATATTACTCTGCCATAAAAAAGAATGAAATTTTACCATTCACAGCAAGATGGATGAAGTTAGAGAAAATTATGTTAAGTGAAATAAGCCAGGCACAGAAAGAGAAATACATGTCCTCATTCATAAGAGGGAGCTAAAAAAAATAAATAAATAAGATAAAATAATATGTATTTTCAGATTAGCTCACAAAGCAAAATCCAATTCTATATCTAAAAGATAGACCTTAAAACAAAGATCTAAAAAGACAGACCTAAAAACAAAAGAATAGGCAAAGAATATTAGTCAAATGAACAAAATAAAAGAAGTGTTGTAATCTTAATATCTGGCTAGGTATAATTTAGGACAAAAATATTAAATGAGAAAAATAAAGATGTTTTTATAATGCTAAAAGACACAACAACAAAGTTTAATACTCTAATATTCAGACAATTTAACACACCCATTCTCAGTCTAAGCTAGTCAAGTTGACAAAAATAAGTAAGGAAATATGGGGACTAAACAACATAAACAATAAGCTCAGTCTTCTGGGTATATATCTAACTGCATCCTGATTAAATAGAATACACTTTCTTTTCAAGTACCTGTGGAAACAGTCTCATTAACTAATGGCACCTTCTCTACATTGATTGTAAGATGCATCCCTATTCAAAGTTGTTAAAATGGATAAAAACAAAACTTAAGTGTCCTAAAATAGATACATACCATAATACTCTTTTCCTTGGAGGACCCATTAACTGTAATGCCCTTCCTTCTACTTTTTGATGGCGAACTTAACTTATCATCTAGGACCCCGATCAAATACCTCCTCCTGGGCCGGCCCGGTGGCTCACTTGGGAGAGTGCGGTGCTGATAACACCAAGGCCCCGGGTTCGGATCCCATATAGGGATGACCGGTTCGCTCGCTGGCTGAGCGTGGTGCTGACAACACCAAATCAAGGGTTAAGATCCCCTTACCGGTCATCTTTTAAAAAAAAAAAAAAAAAAAAAATACCTCCTCCTCTCGGGCATATTCCCAACTTTCCCACCGGTGTACTCCCTTTATGCACACACTGTACTATGTTCGCTTTCAATTGTTTCATGATTACGCATTTATTGGTGCCCCACACTAGACAACGAGCCTTGAAACAAACATCATATCTTATTCTTTGTGCCCTCTGCTTCCATCACCTCAACACTTTCCCACCACTTTCCTATAGGCCAAGTGCACAAATGGTTTTCTATAGATATCTTTTGAGTTGATTAAATAATCCCTGTAGACACATTGCAAATTATATGATCTTTTCAATATGTAAAAATCATCTCCCTAATTTTTGTTCTAATTCTGACTCTGTCACCAACTAGCTGGGGAAGACTTGGGCAAATCATATAAGATATCTGGTTATCAGATTTTGTCCTTATCTTAAAGTTGGACTGTTGCATTTGCAGATTTAACATTTTTAAATTTCTAAGCACAATTAATATAATATTTAAAGATATGAATTATTTTAGTGAGAGCAATGTAGTCATACAAAACTGATTCATCAAATAACTTGGGAAAGAAAATAAAAACCTACAATTTTTATTCATAGGTAACAAAGAATCTGGCTTCCAGCCACAACTGGATAGGAGGGATCAGATTTACTCTCCTGACTTAAGTAAAAAACTGGACAAAATGTATGAAACTGCTGTCAGACATGAGACAACTGAAAGTGCAGAATTGTGATCCGGGAGAAAAGGAAAACAAATAAAGGGAGACCTGTGGTCACCCAGCTTTTGCCTGGAGGCACATTCAAGACCACAGAGCAGGGATGGGCAATCCCAAGCAGAACAGGGTGTTCAGAGTTTGAGGAGCCAAATTTGGATCAGGGTTTAGGGAATCTTAGAGGGCTGGAAGCTGCAGGGCAGATTTCTGGAAAAGAAGGAGCTATACGGAAAATGAGCTTCAGAAATTTGCCCAGCATCTGCTTTGAGTCTTTGCAGAATAAAAAGACACACACGTGTAGGGCAGAACACAGCAAGATCAAACAATAGAGTGACTGGGAAACTGAACTGACTGATTCTCAGGGTTTACAAAGGACTAAAAATCATTTGAGTTCTCATCAACTAAAGTGAAGACTCCTCATTATCACTCAAGACATTCAATAGAGACTCCCAAAGGGCCACACCTTAGTAGTGAGGTTAAACTATCCCTAGAGTAAAGACTATTTTAGACATGTTCTAAGAAACCTTGAAAACATGCCTCAAAAGGATCAAACCAAACAGCAAGTGACTGAACTATCTGCCAAAACAAAGCCTGACACTCTCTTTAAAAAGACAACAAAATCCAGACACTCAATAACAGAAGATTATAATGTCCAGTATCCAAACAAAATTACTAGACATGCCAAGAAGCAGAAAAATGTGAGCCATAACCAAGAGAAAGGTCAGTCAGTAGAAAAAGATCCAGAAGTGACAGAGATCAGAGAGTTAGCAGACAGAAATGTTAAAATGGCTATTATAACTATGTTCAAGTATTTGAAGAAAACATGAAAATAGTGAGGCAAGAAAAGATTTTAAAAATAATCAAATGAGACTTCTAGTGATTAAAAATATAACCGTCACTAGATGAGATTTACAGCAAATTAAACACTGCGGAAGAAAACAGTGAATCTAGAAAACAATAAATGGTAAACCGTGCAGCTGAAACTGGAGCATATGTGTCTCCTGCCATGACTAACTGGTTAGTAGACTTTTTCATCAGGGTGACTGTCCCCTGAGGAAAGGGCCTAAATCTCCCAATTCTCTTACTGGCCACAGCACAGAAGAATTTGTTTGCATACAATGTTTTGTCCTCCTTAGAAAACATACTTACTTTTTTTAGAAAACCAGACTCATTGCTATTCTATGATTTATACATGTAAAAACATATTTGCACATGAAAGGCAATGCATGAAAGCTAAAATAGTTGGGTAGTGTGATGGCGTTTAGAATATTATTTTGAATATTCTAGAATGGTGTTTATAAAAAACGTAAAGTACAGACATGAGACGCCCTAATTCCCACTGAACTCCAGAGTTTGGTCTTCCAGCTAAACCCTGGTGGATCAGACTCTGGGACACTTGCCCACTCTACCCATACTTCTACAACTATGAGACTGTTTTATATTAGGAAGTAAAAAAAAAAAGAAAAGAAAAATATCTTTTGTTGGGTCAGAAATAAGTGAGGTAGGGAATGGAGCTGAGCAAAAGTATGACATTAGAGGAATGATACTTCCCCCAAATACAGGAGTGTTCTGTTGGCTTTCTCTCTGCCTCTTGAAACTCTAACCATTCTCCCCAGTTGCAATCATTTAAGTATGTGTCTTTCTTTTTCCACAATCTCTCATATTCTGGAAAGCAGGGCCCCTGGTCTTTTTGCTCCATATAAACTCTCCTGTGGTACATACCTAGCCTCTGGTAGTTTGTCAATCACATCTGTTGCATATGTGACCATCCCAAGTGCCAGACTTCACAGACATTGGCCTCCATGTGTCTCTCCAAACACCCTCCCTACAAACTGCCCCACACTCCTGCTGGCATTCAAAAAGTCTTTGTGGGTTTGTTGTCTACAGGCTCCTCCACAAGAGAAAATAATAAATAATTGATATTTTCATAAAGATGGGAAAATATAAAACACGGTGAGAGAACTCACTTTGGAATTTGTGGAAGAGGCTCAAGTGGAATAAATGTATCAAATTTCTTTTCATAAGGCGTTCTGAAAAACAGAAACGGCAACCATAAAATTGTGTGGCTTCTACAGCAAAGAGATTAGTACATCATCACAGTCAATAAAATGTCTTATTTTCCAGTTATAATTTTCAAGTACGAGCTTCAAAACTGTAAAGGCCACAATTTTTATTATTTTTGATCATTTTTAGTCAACATCATTAAATCCCACATGGCTTTTTAAAATAATATATAAAATTTAATACACTAACTATTTTTCTTTTAACTTAATGATCCTCGTGTTCTCCTCAGTCACTTTGGTCTAAGTTTAGTTCCAAGTTTAAGTCAACCCACATAGTAGTCACTAACCAACAATCTGATTCAGTATGAAAATTCAAGTCTTCAAACTTGCGATAATAAAAATTGAAACAAAATTAATAACCACTTTTTTGTAGTCAAGATCCTGTGTATAATTTCAATTACACACACTAATGTGTGCATATACTAATTAACTAAAGATGAACTTTTTAAGGAATTTTCACCCAGTCATATCTTGTTGAGATATGCCCCTTTCAAAATATAACATATATAGTAGAGGGAGACACAATCTCTTTAAAGTTAACTTTAAGTAACTCGAGTATTAAAATACACTTACATTGAAAAATTCACAGGTGGGAGAGTTGATCCTGCCTTGTGGAAGCCTTTACTCTGTTCTGGATACATGTACGGATTATCCCCTGGAGTTAACTTTGGGATTCCATTCCTGGGATCAATATCTGTGGAAAATGTTTGAAAACGAAATCATACACAAGGCCGAAGATAACCCACAGATCTGCTGTATCAACATGACAATGGAAATAGGCTATTTTAGTGTTTTATTATAAGCTACATAGAGGTTTCTTTAAAGTTCTATTTGTGAGTACCTCGCCTTCAGCAGATGAAGATAGAAGTGTGAGCCTACATTTGAGACATTTTCTAAAAATTGTTATTATGTTTAATTCACCCTGGAAAAGAAAAATAGGCTTAGGTTCAGATGGGGTGTTTTGGTTTAAAATACACAGCAGGTTGGAGGCACCTTTGCAATGATTCACAAGATCTCCGACTTAATCTTTTCATTCCTGAGCATTTAGTGCACTTTGAATCCTTGAGTTCTAGAAAGCCCAAGAAGCAACCATACTTAGTGCTCTGCCTCTCTGAGCGGGTCTCAGGAGGAATCAGCTCATGAGTGTCCCACTCCTCCTCTGCATCAAGCACTGGGGCCGTGTGGCAGTGGAAGGAAGTGGCCCTCCTGGTGAAGAGAAGCCAGGAGAAGGTCTACTGCTGCTGAGCATGCTCTGCTTACCCAGCTGATGCTCTGACACCAGCTCAGCCCCTGCTTGTGCCCTGGGAACAAGAAGCTAATCACAGGAGTTGGGGAGGAGTCAGGCTGGTACAGGATGGTCATTGAAACCCACACACCTGACATCAGACTCATCTGCCAAGAGAATAAGCCTGGCCTCTGAGACTGACCAGCCTGAGCTCAGAAGCAGGGATACGTGCTAGGAACATGGCCTCCTTCCTTGCCACACACCCAATGAACAGGACTCTTTTTCTCTCTCTCTCTTTAAGGCTTGTTTTTATATTAATTCAACTGTACCCACAAGATGCAAGCCAAAGGGAGAGCTAGATAAGATTTTTGAGAAGCTGTTTCCTACCTACCCATATCCTCTTGCTAACTCAGAAAAGCCATCTATACAACAGGGAGGAGTTTTGAGTTACTGGAGTATTTAATTTTTAACCTTCCTCTTTCAAAAGCCTTTTCAATAGCTAAGATTCTGTATCTAAACTTTATATTTGCAGAGTTCCGGTCAAGATGGTGGAATAGATGGTCCCCAGTGTCACTCTCTCCAACATATCAACCAATTTACAACTATAAAAATGTAACAACAGCCAAGCTGGGGCCACTGGAGCTCAGGGGAAGAGGAGGAAAGTCCTACAGAGTTCATGAAGGTGGGAGAAGCCACGATGAGAGAAAGAAAAAACTGCTCAGAGTGTTTTGGGCCACAACTGCTTTAAGGCTGGAACTGCTGAGCACATGGAGCAGGAGCTGGCAAAAGCCACAGCTGTGCCCTTCAGACAGAGCTGCTTGGAGGTGGCAGGGGAGAAGAGGACCTTGGTAGCCCCCAGGACAGTAAGACCACTAATAGGGTTCCTGTGGACCCATGCAGGAGCAAGGAGCCAGAACAGCTGAAAAAGGGGAGCCACTCAGAAGCTGGTGAGTCAATACAAGGGACTGGTACAGGGCCTTTCCCATGGGAAATGTTTGGAGCACGGGCAGTGAGAGAGACAGGGCCACCAGGAGAACACTGGGACACAGCAAGTACAGCTGATCCATGCCCCAATCAGCACAGGACCACTCAGAGGAGACTGGTCAGGAATGCAGAATTGCATCGGGTGCAGTTTGATGAAAAGATTCAGGCCCAGATCAGAGTTTCTACACAACCCAGGTGCACTAGGTCTGTGGAGAGCTGGAAGTACCTATAAGGTCAACCATTAAACCCTGAGCTGCACAAAAAGTCTTCCCTACAGAATCAGCAGCAAAGCAGCAACTTAGCTCAACCGCACAGCTCAAGTACTGGTTCCCACAGGAAGTTCCCCCATTTTAAAAGTAAGCAAAGGACAAAAAATTAGTTCCAACCCAGGCACACCACCAGCACCTCGGGGCCTACCAGGAGACCTGAGGTATGGGCCTGGGGACCAGACCCCCGCCCACAACTATGCACACCACCAGCACATTGGGGCACTGCCCAAGGGCCTGGGGCATGGAGCTGAGGACCAGATCCCCCTTCCACATCCAGGCACACCATCAGCACCAAGGAGCATGCCAAAAATATCACTTCCACGTGGGTGGCCCACCACAGCCATCACAGTAACCACAGCTGCCGTGAAAGTGGCTAGACATCACAACCACCAGGCAGATAATCCACCAGCCACTGGAGTGCACTGACATAAGGAGAGTCACCAGCAGAGACCAAAGAAAAGAAGAGGATGTCTCTCTTCACAAAGCCCTGTCCAGAGTGACAGAAGAAGCATCTGCTCTGTGATAATATTGGGGGACCTGATCACCCCTTTCAGCATTGGACAGATTATCTAGGCAACAAATCAACAGAGTAACCATTATTCTTTCAGAGGGAGAGAAGAAATCTAGGGTTCTCAGTGGTGGGGGGGGGGAGGGAGAGAGGGAGAGATTGGACAAAGGGCATAAGGAATAAGTATAATTTGTAAAAATACACATACTAGTAATATTGATTTGATCAACATATGTCAACATTGAATCCCAAAAATATGTATAATCAATGATGATTCAATAATAAAATAAAATAAAATAAAAATAAACTTTATATTTGCTCTTAGATGTAGTGAAATAGCATTAACTACTCCCATGCATTGAGTGCCTGCTGAGTATGGGGTGCCAGGTTCTAAGCAGAGAGACAGCAGTCAGCACATCTTTTGAATCCCAAACCAAGGCACAGACCAGTAAAGATCAGGTGACAGCAAGAAGTGGCAAGAAGGGTTTGGACTTTGTAGTCAGTCACACCTGAGTGCAAATTCAATGCTGCAATTTCTAGTTCTGTGCCCTTGAGCTATTCATTTAACCTCCCTAAGTCTTAGTAAACTCATTTATAAACTGTTTATTTCAAATGTCTAATTTGCAGACTTATCAAAATGCTAAATGAGAATGACCTGAACACATTACTGGCATTCAAGAAATAGTAGCAGTTATTATTATTATTTGAAATCAAGATTGGACTAATACCCCCCCATCCCAATTATTTTTTAATCTGAAAAATATAATACCATATGGAGCTAAAATATATATAAATATATAAATATATTTAATATATTTAAAATATATATATATATATAATACATAGAGCTAAGGTATAAAGCTCTCCCTAGGGAATCTTACCAAGTTAGGGCAACAAGACAAGGAAATAAGGAGATAAACAATCCAGTAAGAAGGTAAATGCCATACATTACAGAACAGTGATCATACAATTTTAGCACAACTGAGAACCACCTAGGGAGCTTTTTAAAAATTAAGCTTCCCAGGTCCCAACCCAAGAAATTCTGTTTCAGAAGATCTGGAGCGGTTCCCGGAACTGGCCTTTTTTACAAACTCTGTAGCTGATTATGATGCAGGTGATTTGAGGACAACACTTAGAAATATATTACTGCAAAAGATTTTATAAGATAATGTCAGCAAGTAGAAAAAGATCCAATGGTTTGGGTTTAAGTATGAAGTTACTTTTAGGGAAAAATCTCTCAAACAACACTTCTGATATAACACATTTGTTTAAGTAATTAGTTGTAACATGGGACCTTGGTTTAATTTCTGAGTACTCCATAAAAAACAGGTTATCATCCCAAAGTGCTTGCCACTGTGTATCAATAGCTGATAGACCCAAAATACCTCATGATCTGTTCTAATGCTTGTTTATGCTTTCAGACAGACCATCCACTCTGGATGTAAAGAGATTCAGAAGGTAGGAAATGGGACAAACACATTAAAAGACAAATAACCATACAAAGGAGCGAACTGTTTACCAAGTCAAATAACATATTCTGTCCCACATTTCTGTGCCCCAGTGCTCTTGGGTGGAGCCATGTTCTGACCTACAGGCTGTGAGCAGAGGTGATGTGTGCCCTTTCTAAGAAGAAGCATTTCAGCAGCTGATGTGTAACCTTCCAGATCTTTCCCCTGCTATGGCAACCTTAGAAACCACATGTTGAGATAGAAAATCACAAGGTAAAAGTAGAAATGTTCCTTGAGTCACTGTTTGGAAGATAGCTGCCCTGGAGTACTACTGGATCCACAGTGGAGTTTACAAGAGAAAGAAGCAAACTTAAATGGGTAAGCATCTATACTGTAGGAAGGGCTACACAATAGAAAAGTTATATTTTCAGGCCTATTTCCCTACAACCTATTATCATAGATAGCATTTTACCCTTTCTTCTGTGGCAACAGTTAGTCGACAATTATTTAAATATATTTTGATTCATTTTTTCCCCATTATAAATGTGTTGCATTCCAGCTCAAAATGGCAGCTGGCTGGCAGTTCCTGACCCTGCCTCTCCATCTTGTCCAAAAAACCAAAAAACAAGGGGGAAGAAAATTTCACAAAGGAAGACATGTCCAGTGTCGAGCTTAACAGTATCAAGTGCTACAGTGAGATCAAGGCAGAGAAGAAGTGGAAAATGACCATTGCATGTGATGTTTAAAGAAGTCTTCGCACATCACCTGAGAAGTAAAACACACTGAAACAAATCCAGCCTGTAGATCCAATTACCAATTTACAGGAAATACATAGGAAAGCAGAACCTGTTAAGTGGTACCAAGAGATGGAATCAGCAAAATCCTGACTGCGGTAAACTCTACAGGACAAATGACCTAGTTTCTTCACCAAATAAGTTGCAAGAAAAAAAGAGAGGAGGACCTGTATATGAAAAGAGAGTTAAGAGATATACCAACTAATTTCAATGTGAGGACCTTATTTGGATTCTGATTCAAGCAAACTTAACATTTTTTAATTATGGCATTTATAAGACAATTGGATATTTGAACATTGAATATTTGATGATATTAAGGAAATATTGTTAATTTTTTAAGATATGATATTATGATACAATATTGTGGTTATGTTAATAAAAATAACCCATATCTATCAGAGATACATAATGATATATTTACAGATGAAAGGATACGATGTCTGGAATTTGCTCTAAAATAATCCCTAGGGGTAGGGGTAAAGAAGAAACGAGATTAGTCACAGGTTGATAATTATTGAAAATAAGTGAATGAACACATCAGGTTTTATTATGTTATCCTCTCTACTTTGACAAGTTTGGAAATTTACCTAATAAAAAGTTTTTCTTTAAAAAAAGTTTTAAAATGTAAAATAGGGATTACCACTGGAGCAGGGGGAGGAAAAATGCAGTATTCAGGGAAAGGCATACAGGAGACTTCGAATGTAAACATAAGATTCCATTTCTTATATGGATTGAGAAGCACATAAGTATTTGTAGTATTTTATTCTATACATTCAACAAATATTTCATAAATATACCTTTGCATCTACTCAGTATTTATAAAATCACCAAGAAAAAAAAAAGGAATAGAGGAAAGGGGAAGGAGAGAGGGAGAGAGGAAAGAAGGAAAGAAAAAAAAGGAAGGAGAGAGAGAGGGAAGGAGGAAAGGAAGAAAGAGAAAGGAAAGGAAAGGAAAGGAGCGAGAGGAATAATAACCACAAAATTCAAGATAAGGTTTACTTTAGAGTTAGGAGGGAAGTGATGGGTTAGGATTAGTATTTGGGTCACCATAATAATCTCATTAACTTCTGATAAATACTTTCAGCTCAGGAATGCAGGTACAGGACTCCTAAAAGACTCCCATATCAGTGAGCACTCCTCCAGCTCAGCTCGTATGGCTTTTCGTGTATTCTCTATCCAAATAAATAAAAGCCTCGATTCTCAAAACTATTTATTGCTGCTATGAGATTAAATGCCTACTTTAAAACTCAAAACGAGAACTTTCTACTTCTTTGTCTTTGTGTCCCTGCTATAGCAGTCCTATTCATCTCTGAAGCGATGGCTGCCTCCTACACGGGTATATCTATTGAAGAGTGGTCCGTAAGTGGTTCGTTGGCACTCAGCAACCTTTCGGGGTCTTTCAGTAAATCTGTTATGGGTAAATTGTGGCAGAGAACTCAACACATTACAAACCAAGGAGAGATATACATATATATGAGGGTACTTCAAAAAGTTCAGGGGAAAATGGGATTAAAAGACAATAAGAATCATTCCATGAACTTTTTGAAAACCCTTATATACAGATATAGATTTAGATATTCATCTCAATTCCCTTTAATTAAATAAGCAATATAACAACGTGCACTACAAGCTAATGTTTATGGATGTTTTCCTCATCAAGTAAATAAAATACACTTTAAATGCACACGACAGGGGCCGGCCTGTGGCTCACTCAGGAGAGTGCGGTGCTCATAACACCAAGGCCACGGGTTCGGATCCCATATAGGTAGGAATGGCCGGTTTGCTCACTGGGTGAGCGTGGTGTTGACAACACCAAGTCAAGGGTTAAGATCCCCTTACCGGTCATCTTTCTTAAAAAAAAAAAAAAAAAAAAAAAAAAAAAAAATGCACACGACAGGTAGCATCTAATTGAAGCATAAATTATTTTCTTCGGACTTCAATGAGGGTTTCTATTAATAAGTATCTAAGAGAACTTATCTGATGACTTAAATGCCACATTAGCATTTTATGAAATTCAGAGAAAAGCAAAAATGTGGATCAGCATATGCCGTGAGTTCTTTGCCAAAATGTGTAGCCTGCCAGCTGTCCCTCTTCATTTTTCTATCTTCCTGGCTGCACTAGGGTGACATGGCTACCCCACAGGGCTGCTCTCAGCTATGAAATGCAGAGCCTACAGAATCATGACTCAAGACTTTTTTCGGGCATCACACAGTCAAGGTCCAGAAGGAAGACATTACCGTATTTCTTCCTCCCTAAGCACTTGTCCACCGTCCTTTCTGATAGAGACCTCCTGTTGCCGAGGAAGACCCCATTAAAGAAGCACTGCTTTCCAACATGGTAGGTGTGGATATTGCTGCTAAACCTTGGGTAAAACGTCCACTCAGGACGCTGCCCATCTTCTGCAAGACATCAGAAATCCTCCCATCAGCACCACTCCCACCCTCATAATGCTATTAAATAACAAAAAGTTGTAAATATTCCCCAGGCACTATCTGGCTGGGGAATACACTTTATCAACATGTATAATTCTTTGGCTCTACATCAGGGGTGGTCTCAACCTCTGTAGGACTAGGCACAAAAAGGAAGAAAACAGGGGGGAAAGCTACTTGAGGCCTCATTTATTTTTCCTTTTTACTCCCTCCTTCAAAAATGAAGCCAATGTTATGTTTGGAAGTTATGTATGGGCTGGGAAGCTCAGAGACTGTCTTAAAAGCACCTGTGATCCAACCCTCAGTCTGAGAACCACATAGGAAAAATAGAATGCCATTAACCAGAGAATGGCTGGGCCAACTGTGGCATCTCAAGTGGATGGAACAAGGTGGTGGCAGCAACAGCAGCACACACAAGCACTCCAGTGACACAGGGACATGTATATATATGATAAGTCAAATGAGAAAAGCTGCTGTGTGACCTCAGGCTAATTACTGGACCTCTCAGTGCCTCTATTTCATCATTTGATACTTTTCCTGTAAGATTGCTAACGGTGATTTTAAGCAATAAAAGATCCTCTAGCACCTCTAGGGTTGCTTGAGAAACACTTGGGCTCTGAGGTGGCCAAGTCAGAACACAGGCTTTGGAGGCAGGCAGGTTTGAGTTCTAATCCCATCACCCTACTCCCTGGCTATGTGTACCTGTATGGGTGACTGAAGATCTCCAAGCCTCAGTTTCCTTCTCTGTAAAAAGGGTAGGTCTATATTAGCCACATACATCTATATGTTTTGCCACAGAAAGAAGTCCATGATCCATTTACTGACAAGTGAAAACAGTTTGTATACTACAACCTATTTATTTTATATATATGTATATATGTATGTATACATACATACACACATACATTTCAAAATTCAGGAAAAATATATATCAACTCTTCACAGCTATGGGGCAGAATGAGGATATTGTTGGAGAATACTGGGGAAGGGATTTGTACACTCTATATACTTCCATACTATTTTAATGTTTTGCTGCAATACTTTTATGGTTTTTATATAAAGGCATTTCATTTTTTAAAAACTCATAACAATAGCTCCACAGCAGAGCTGCGACAATTACAGATGAAGTGTGTCAAATGCCTGGCACTTGTGGGTCTTTAGTGACTTCAGAAAAGACCCTGGGCACAGAGGCATGTGGAGGAGGGTCTCTAGCTTACTCACTTGTCTGCAACTTAAGCAGGCTGAATTCCTTAGGATATTTATCCTTTCGGACTTCAGGCACTGAGGTTTCAGATGAGTGATCAGAATGTGAGGAGGAGGATTTCTGATCCAAATCTGCAGCAATGCTGGAAAGAAAGCAGGATTAGATTTTCCTGTATGCTTAAACTGGCAGTTAGTTAGAACATGATCATACATATCTTACACTAGAATTGTCCTCACTTATGAGAACTAAACCTCCTCCTCTATAAAAGCCCCTGAGCATATTTGAGGGGACTTAAACATATTCAAAAGACACATGTTTAAAAACAATTTGGTGGTGCCTCAAAAAGTTAAACACAGAATTACCATATGACCCAGCAATTCCACTTCTAAGAATGCCAAAAAGAAGTGAAAACAGAGACTCAAATAGATACTTGTATGTGAAAGTTCGTTGCAGCATTATTCATTATACCAGAAAAGTGGAAACAATCCAAGCATCCATCAACAGATGAATGGATAGGCAAAATGTGGTATATATGTACAATGGAATATTATCCAGCCAGAAAAGGGAATGAAGTCTGGTTCATGGATGAACCTTAAAAGCATTATGCTAAATGAAATAAGCCAGACACAAAAGTACAAATATTGTATGATTCCACTTACGTGAAATATCTAGAATAGGTAAATTCATAGAAGCAGAAAATAAATTAGAGTTTACCAGGAGCTGGGGAGAAGGGAGAAGGGCAAATTATTGCTTAATGGGCACAGACTTTCTGTTTGGAGTGATGAAAATGTTTTGGAAATAGTGGTGATGGCTACACAACATTATGAGTGCAATTAATGCCACTAATGTCAAATGCCATGTTATATGTGTTTTACCATAATTTATAAAAAGAAATGATATACTGATATATGTTACAACATGGATAAACTTTTTTTTTTTTTGTCCTTTTTGAGACCGGCCACACCGCGCTCAGCCAGTGAGCGCTGTGAGCGCACCAGTCATCCTATATAGGATCCGAACCTGCGGTGGGAGCGCTGCTGCGCTCCCAGCGCCGCACTCTCCAGAGTGCACCACAGGCTCGGCTCCAACATGGATAAACTTTTTTCTTTTTTGTCCTTTTTGAGACCGGCCACACCGCGCTCAGCCAGTGAGCGCTGTGAGCGCACCAGTCATCCTATATAGGATCCGAACCTGCGGTGGGAGCGCTGCTGCGCTCCCAGCGCCGCACTCTCCAGAGTGCACCACAGGCTCGGCTCCAACATGGATAAACTTTGAAAGCACTGTGCTAAATAAAGGAAGCCAGGCAATAAAGACCACATATTGATGATTCAATTCATATGAAATGTCCAGAATAGTCAAATCTATAGAGACAAAAAGTAGATTCATGGTTTTCTGGGGCTGGAGGGATAAGAGAGATGGGGGAGGGAGGTGATTGCTAAAGGGTACGGGTTTCTTTTGGGGGTGAAGAAAGTGTTCTAAAATTGATTGTGGTGATGAATACACTAAAAGCCACTGAGCTGTACACTTTAAACGGGTGAATTGTATAGTATGTGATTTATGTTTTGATAAGTCCGTTACCAAAAAAAGATGCATGTTCAATAATACAATTAAATGCAAATAAAAAAGCAATAAGTATATAGAGACAAGGAACAAATAATCAAAAACAAACCTAGACTGAAGTGGTTATAATAAGGGAGCATTATATTTAGTGTTGAACTTCCTAGCCATTAAAAAGGCCTACAGCAAACTGTTGTATCAGCAGAAAAAGCAATGACTTCTGGTTTAAGGGTCTTTGGATTTGAGAGTTGGCCTTGGACAATGTTTTCAGGTATAGTTATCTGTTATCAAGTCATAGGAGCTTTTTTTATAATATTGCATCACTTAGTTTCAAGGCAACTTCATACTGCTTGTCTTGTTCGCTCCCTACTAACAATCAGGTGTTGCGGGTAGGACCAATATAATAATTTCCATTTGAAAAGGAAATGGACTCTCAGAGACTATGACTTTCTACGATAAAACACACATATCCAGGGTCAGAGCTGGATCTGTAGCCCAGATCTCCTAATTCTAGACTATGTTTCCTAAAAATCATAAAGAACTCTTAATTTGAGGAGTGCTGAGTTTCAATAACTCAGAATATATAATAATTTTCACATTGCAGTAAAATATGTCTCTCCTAAATATGAGGTGGAAATGCTTTTCTGACCAAACTGTGTGGGAAAGATTGCAAGGATAAAGGAAACTTTACAAAAGAACTTTAGAAGTATCCGCCTACTTTGTTTATTCAACAAACATTTATCTAAGTACATTTTGTGGCAGGCAGTTCTAGACATTGGGGATCCAAAGATGACCGAACATAGTTTCTACCCTCAAGGAGCCTAGGGTACAGGGGGAGAGGAAATGGACATGTACACAGACGATTGTGGAAGAACAGGTCAAGGCAGTAATAGAGACCCCTCCAGGAAATTAAAGGAGCACCCAGAGGGCCGGCCCGTGGCTCACTTGGGAGAGTGTGGTGCTGATAACACCAAGGCCACAGGTTCAGATCCTATATAGAGATGGCCAGTTGGCTCACTGGCTGAGCGTGGTGCTGACAACACCAAGTCAAGGGTTGAGATCCCCTTACCAGTCATCTTTAAAAAAAAAAAAAAAGGTGCACCTAGAAAGGACACCTAATCCAGTTAGGTTTGAATGGGTAGAGCAGACATCTGGAAAGATTTTATGGAGGAGGTGTGCCTGAGCCGAGTCTCAAAAGATGGGAATAAATTTACCACATGTATCAATCAAGACAAAAGTGACAGAAATCCATGGTGGTTTAAGCAATTATGGGAATGTATTTGTTCCCGTGACATGGGTACAACTGGGGACAATTGGAGTCAGGTCTCAATGTCTCCAGAACTGTCACTCTCCCCTGCTGGTCCCCACTTGTTTGACATCTTGGCTTCATTTTTGCCATTTGCAAAAACGTTTCTTCACAAGGACAAGGTCACTGAGAGCCTCAGATTCAAATTCTTGTAGTCTTCCAGCCAATCTTTATCCCAGTCTCCAACGTGAAAAATTTCAGGGAAGAATTCTTTTTGGTCCAGCTTGAATCATGTGCCCTCCCTTAAGTCAATCACAGGCAAAAAGCAGAGTCATGTAAGAAGATGGCAACTCCCGTTCAGAACACTCATTAAAACTGGGTAGGGAAGGAGAGGAAAATAGCTCCCCAGGAAAAGGGGGATAGCACAGGCGAGGCCACTAAGGAAGTGAGGGGGAGCTGAGCAGCTCCTACGATATGTGAACACAAGCAAAGGGCACTGGGAGGAACCACTGCAGGCACAGACAATATGAGCAAAGGTGCAGAAGGAAGAAACAGCAGGGAAATAAAGAAATTTGATGTGGATGTGGCAGGACAGTTGGAGATAAGACTGCAGAAGAGAAAGAAGACAGATCTGGAGAACCTGCAGTCACCGTGAAGGGGCTTGGACTCTTCTTTATCACACTTTAAGGGGGTATCATTAAATAATCGTAGGCAAGGACATGACATGGTCACATACGGTCAGATTTCTGTTTTAGAAAACTCTGGAAGCTGTGCAAGGAATAGCCTTTAAGAACACAAGACTTAAGGCAGGGAGTCATTTAGGAGAGAGTTTGGTAGGCAGCCTCTGACATGGCTGCCAGTGATTCCTGCCTCCTGGGGTTTATTCCTTTCTGTAACCTCCTGTCCTTCAGTATAGCCTGGACCTCGTGACTCACTTCTAACAAACAGAATACAGCAAAAGTGATGGATATTACCTCTGAGACTAGGTTACAAAGAGACTGGCTTTGTCCTGTGTGCACTCTTGCTTGCTTGCTTAGGAGAACAGCTGTCATGTTGTGAGGGTCCTATGTGGAGGCAAGGAACTGAGGGAACTGCTGGGCAACAGGCAGTGGGGAACTGAGCTCCAAGTCCCAATAGCCTGTGGAGAACTGAATCCTGCCACCAACCATGTGAGTGAGCTTGGCCATGGATCCTCCCCCAGGTGAGCCTGCAGATGAGCCCACAGCCCTTGCTAACTCCTTGATTGCAATTTCATGAGAGAGGCCTTGAGGCAGAGGCACCAGCAAAATCACACCCAGATTCCCAACCCACAGAAAATGTGAGATAAAAAATGTCTGTTGTTTTAAGCCACTAAGTTTGGGGTGGTTTGTTATGCAGCAATAGATAGCTAATACAGAGAGAATTACAGTGGGCCAGGCAAGAGATAATTGGAGCTTTGAGTGGGACTGTGGTAATACAGATGGAATAGAAGGGACGGACTTATAAGATATGAGTATTGCAGGACTTGATCCCCTAGTGGATGAATAGGAGGAGACAAGTATGACTCCTAGGGCTATACCTTTGGGACTGCATGAACACTAAGACTGAGGCAGGGGTACAGGAGGAGGGTCTGGTTTGTGGGGAGGAGTGATGATAAGTTCAGTCAAGGCATGTTGATGCTGATAAATTCATATCCAGGTGGAGATATTTAGAAAGAGTTGAATACATCAATCTGAAACTTGGGGTTATGTCTAGGCTGAAGTTTTAGCTTCAGGTACACATGCTTCTACTGAATTAGGTCTTCTGTATGTCAGGCATTATGAAAGATAAAAGAGACCTATATATGTGGAGTTATGAGTGCAGAACTGGCACCAATCGCCCAGTTCCCCATCCTCCAGGGTATGAACTTGACAGTCTGGGCTGTCTTTCCCTCCCAATGCATGGATCCGCTGCCACCGTTAGTGACATATGTCTGTTGCAGAGGACCTAAAGGAGCAGAGCTTAAGAATTATCTCAGCCTCTTTCATGTCCAGTGATGGGGGCAGCAAGTCCACTTGAAGCAGATTTTATTATGAAAAGAATCACTTGAGTGACTTCCCTTACCTTTGACTCAATAATTTCACTTTCAGGAATTTACCTTTATGATATAGCCAGAGACAGGCAAAAGACAAATGTAGAGGGATACTCACTACAGTGATATTTACAACAGCAAATTCTCTAAAACTATAGGGCACTGGTTGAATTGTAGTCTATTTGTCTGACACTCCAGCATGTAAGAACATTAAAAACCATGTTCTTACAAAAGACTCAAAATTATGAGAAAATCTCTCCATGCAATGTTCAGTGCAAAAGCACGTTTTATAAAATGCCGTTCAGTAAGTGAATGGATAAATAACCCTGGGGTACATCCAGACAGTGGAATATTATTCAGCACTAAAAAGCTGTCAGTCCGGGCCGGCCCGGTGGCGCACTGGTACAGTGCGCCGCTTGGGAGTGCGGCGGCGCTCCCGCCGAGGGGTTGGATCCCACATACAGACCGGTTCCCGCTCACTGGCTGAGCGAGGTGTGGGAGCAACACCGAGGGTTGCGATCCCGTTGCCGGTCCCGATCCGGTACAGGCGCGACACTGAGGGGTGCGATCCGTTGCCGGACACCAAAAAAGACAAAAAGGAAAAAAAAAAAAAGCTGTCAGTCCGGGCCGGCCCGGTGGCGCACTGGTACAGTGCGCCGCTTGGGAGTGCGGCGGCGCTCCCGCCGAGGGGTTGGATCCCACATACAGACCGGTTCCCGCTCACTGGCTGAGCGAGGTGTGGGAGCAACACCGAGGGTTGCGATCCCGTTGCCGGTCCCGATCCGGTACAGGCGCGACACTGAGGGGTGCGATCCGTTGCCGGACACAAAAAAAGACAAAAAGGAAAAAAAAAAAAAAAAAGCTGTCAGTCCATGAAAAGACATGGAGGAATGCATACTACTAGGTGAGAGAAGCCACTCTGAAAAGGCTATATGTATACTATATGATTCCCACTATAAGACATTCTGGAAAAGGAGAAACTATGGAGAGAGTAAAATAATCAGTGGTTGTCAGGGGCTGGGGGTGGATGGTAGTAGGCAGAGATGAATAGACAGGACACAGAAGATTTCTAGGGCAGTGGAAATACTCTGTGTGAAACTATAATGATGGACACATGTCATTATACAATTGCCCAAACCCATAGAATGTACAACACCAAGAACCAAGCTAAGGTAAACTGTGAACTTCGGGCGATTGTAATGTGTCAATGTAGGTTCATCAGCTGTAACGAATGTACCACTCTGGTGTGCCATGTTGATAGTGGAGGAGGCTGTGCATGGGTCAGGGCAGGGAGTATGTCGGAACTCTCTTTGCCTTCCTCTTAATTTTGCTGTGAACCTAAAACTTCTCTAAAAAAGTAAAATCTTTAATAAATCTTTTTAAAAATCAGGTTTCACACAAAAAATAGTATACTATGATCTTAATTGTGCAAGATAAATATATAATTATATGCATAAGAACATGAAGTGTTTTTCTCATGCATATGAAAAACTAATATCAAAATATCATTTATTTTCTAATATGTGAAATTATTGTGACTTTTATTTTTACTACTGTTTTTATAATTTCAAATTTTCTACAATGAACTTAAATTACTGTCATTATAACAAAAATTGTTAGAAAAGGGTTTTCAAAACTTTTTACTGTAAAAGAAATAGAAACAGAGAAAAATGCACAGAACATAAGATACAGTTTTACAAGTAATTGTAAAGCCAACATCCAGGTCAAGAAACAAAACATTGCCAGCTCTCCCCTACCCCACTTGCCAGAAATCATCTGTGTGTCCCTTTCCTGGAGAGGTAACCACTATCCTGTGACTCTTAGCATAAATATTTATTCGCTTTTTTTTAAGTTTTACCACCTATGTATGTATGTATGTATGTATGTATGTATTCCAAAAATGTGTAGTTTAGTTTCATCTGCTTTGAAATTTGATAATAGCAAGCACTTACACAGCACTTATAGTGGGCCAGGGAGTCTTCTAATCACTTTACATGTATTAACTCATTTAATCCTCACAACAATCCTATGAAGTTTTGTTTTGTTTTGTTTTTCTGGTATGGGGATCCAAACCTATGAAGTATCATCCTTGTTCTACAGATAAGAAAACTGAGGCCCAGGAAGGTAAAGTGATTTGCTCAAGTTCACACAAGTGGCAGGGCTGGGACTTGAACCCAGATAGTCTAGCTCTGGAATCCATGCTCTTGCCAAGCATGTCATGCTACCTCTCAGACTGCTGGCTTCTTGGTCAGAATTCACCCCAACAGTGACGGCTCTTCAGCACACCCTTACTTACTCCAGGTGAGCAGACATTCTGGGGAGGCCTGGAGGCTCACTGACACTTAGACCTTCTTCTACAGAAGATGAGGGGCTGACCCTCCTGCCAGAGGATGCTGTGTTGGCAAAGCATTCCTTAGATTCCAGAAAATCATTCTGTTTAGCACCTGCAACACATAGATATCACCAGTTAATTACATTATTGGAAATACCTTCCATTTTATCTTGTTCCCTAGATTATAAATAATTAAGACAAACAAACAAACAAAAAACAGCTAACATATGTTTAGTGTGTACTGGGGATTATGTTAATACCTCGCACACATTATCCCATTTAATTCCCAAAATAACCCACAGACATAGGTATTATTTATAGTCCTCATTTTAAAGGTGAGGAAACAGAGGCCCAAAAGGTTAAGCAACTTACCTATGATCACACAGAAAATAGATTTGATCACAGTTCTTGTGGCACCAAAGACTAAAATCCTAACCTCTATGCTAGACTGCTTGCCCCTACACACAGTTCACTCTGAACTAAGTGGAAGACATAAGATTTGAATTAAGCTGTATATCACTGTACATTGTATTGAGCATCTCAAGTACAGAACAAATTTTCTAAAGGATTTGTTCGTAGAAGGGCGGATGAATATAACTGGTGATCATAACCTAAAGAACTGCCTTTGGAAACTTCCATGGGTTCCCCTCACACTTCTTATTCATCTTAGTAGCATCCAGAACAGTGCCTGGCACAAAGTAGGTGCTCAATAAATAGGGTTGTTTTTTTTTTATTGTTTGGGGGTTTTTTGTTGTTGTTGTTGTTATTTTTTTAAAAGATGACCAGTAAGGGGATCTTAACCCTTGACTTGGTGTTGTCAGCACCACACTCTCCCAAGTGAGCGAACCAGCCAAGTGGCCTTGGTGTTATCAGCACCGCACACTCCCAAGTGAGCCACAGGCCGGTCCCTCAATAAATGTTTGAGTGAATAAATGAGAAACAATTATAACTCCCCGACAACAGACAAGTACAAGGAAGGGAGTTCTGAAAGCCTGTGATTGTCAGAGAAGTGTACCCATTATCTTCACTCTGCTATACAAAATACTTTGTGAAAGTCAGTCTGTTCTCATCATTTCATATAGGTACATGCCTTGTCCAGTCACACAAAAAAAAATCAGATGAATAGACATTGCATCTATTTATGCATAACTTTGTACAGCACAGAAGCTCAATAGATACAATGTAACTTCCAAATATGAGGAAATAATAAGAATGAGTCAGATTTCTCTGACTTGAGTACATTTTTAGACTGACCACGATTCCACCTACATAGTATCATGCTTCACATGTACATGGTATAAACCATGTGCCCTCTGCCAATTCCCACCATCTATCAGCAGAACTGCTACTTAGACAATTTTTTATTCATCTCCTCTCTAATTCATAAAGCAAGAGGATCATATCTTTTCCACTCTTGTCAAGTCCTGACCATATCATCAATCCCTTCACTCTTAAGAGGACTTTCCCTGTAGCTCTACAAAGCTGAAAGGCCAGCTGAGCTATTTCAACCCTTCAAAATCCTCCCATTCTAGGGGCTGGCCCATTAGCTCAGTTGGTTAGAGCACAGCCTTATAACACCAAGGTCACAGGTTCGGATTCCCATGCCAGCCAGCTGCAAAAAAATCAAAATCCTCCCATTCTGGGGTTTCTCAGGGTGTATGGCACAAGCACTATCTGTGCTGTGGTCTGAACGGGAGCTTGATCCCCAGTGTGACAGTGTTAAAAGGTGAGGCCTTTGGGAGGTGATAGAATTGTGATTGAATGTATTCAGGGGTTAATGGATAAATAGGTTATCAAAGGTGTGCACTGAAGCTTTATAAGGAAAGCAAGTGAGCACACTAGTGCTCTCACCATGTGATACCCCACATAACTTCAGGATCTGCAGAGTCCCCACCAAGAAGAAGGCCCTCACCAGATGTGCCCCCTGGACCTTGGACTTCCCAGCCCCCAAAACTGTAAGAAATAAATTCTGTTTCTTTATAAACTACTCAGTTTCAGGTATTCAGTTAGAAGTGACAGAAAACATTCTAATACAATTTGCATCAAAATTATCTGTTAAAAATACAGATTTCCTTAAAAAAAAAAAAAAAACAGATTCCCAAATCCAATCACAGACCTATTGAATTATAATCTCTCCAGGTGAGGACTGGGAACCTGCACTTTGAGTAAGTCCCCCTCCCCCAGCAGCTCTTAGGCTCATGTTTGTTTGGTTTTTGTTTGGTTTTTTTTAAGATGACCGGTAAGGGGATCTTAACCTTTGGCTTGGTGTTGTCAGCACCACACTCAGCTGGTGAGCAAACCGGCCATCCCTATGTAGGATCCGAACCCATGGCCTTGGTGTTATCAGCACCGCACTCTCCCGAGTGTTAGGCTCATGTTTGGCAGTGATCTTCCTCTTAAACTCTAGCTCCATCACTGCAGCTGCATTCTATCACATCTCATGTCCTGATTCCCAAGTGCACAGAATATCCCAAATTTGCCTAGTCATGAGAATCACCTTGGGGTACTTGTTCAACACGCAGATTCCAGGGCTCTGATCCAGACCTACAGTCTGGGAATCAGTATGTTTAAGAAGCACCTCAGGTGATTCTTAGTGCCAGCCAAGTGTGGGAAATGCTATTCTAGAATATGCCCCAGAGCCTACAGCAGCCCAGGCACAGTAAGAGCCAACTGGTTGCTTGAGGTGTGAGTAGTTGGATGGAGTCAAACCCAGTGGACGGGGCAGAAAAGAAGCAGAGCTGTGAGAAGGCGAGGACAGTTCTCCAGCAGCCAAAGGAGGCACCCCCCCATGTACTAAGCTACAAAAGAAGTATCAACAAATACAATATAGACCACACTCTCTGACCACGATGCATTACAATTAGAAATCAATAATAAAAAGACAGCCAAAAAATATTCATGAACTTGGAAGATCAAACCACACTTTTAAATAATTCATATAAAAGAAGAAATCGTAGTGGAAATCATGAGGTGCTTAATGATCAATGAACAGAAGTACTACATATCAGAACCTGTGGGACTCAACTAAAGCGATAATTAGAAAGTTGGAGCCATAACTGCATATATGGTATTTCACTGACTATAAGATGGCATTAATTGTAATAACATTATTGTTTTATGTACCACAAAGAACAAAAGCTGCCAATTAAACTCTGACACAATGCCTTATCACTTAGAATTTTTATTTTATACATCACATATCACTCACATGCACATATAAAGAAGGAAAATATAAGCAAAATAAATTGGCTAAGGTATTCTTAAATCTTCTTTGCATTCAAGAGTCTGACCAGAAATCACTTTTCAACTCAATCACTGATGTCCACATTTTCCACCTAATACTGACCTCAGTGCAACCAGAAAGTAGGTAATGCAGCATCTCTTAAACGAGTGCTTCTCTCTTGCCTTTGGAATTTTCTTCCAAGCTATGGATGCACATTTTGCATGCTTCGTACTATAAAGATTATGACAATCAGCTGGCTGGTTAGCTCAGATGGTTAGAGCTCATTCTTATAACACAAAGGTCAAGGGTTCGGATCCCCATACAGGCCAGGCCATCAAAAAAAAAAAAAAAAAGATTGTGACAACCACTTCACACCTGCTGCTGGGCCCACAGCACTGATGAGACCAATCCCAACTTTAGAGATGCAAACCATGAAAAATATCCATCTTAGAACTGATGGGTTATAGTGTTCAGAAACAAAGATTCCAAAACTAATGAGCTAAGCTTTCAATTCAAGAAATAAGGAAAAAAGAGTAAATCTCCCAAAATAAGGATGAAAATTATAAAATGAAAGCAAAAATGAATGAAATAAAGACTAGCAGAACTACAGAATCATGAAAAAAATTAAGGTAGATAAACAAGTTTCAAGAAAAAAATTTAAAACATAAGTAAACAGTATTAGAAATGAAAAGGAGGCCATAATTACAAATAAAATAGAAATAACTTTACAGATAAAGAAATAGAGTCCCAAAGATGTCAAATAACTTGTTCAGGGTTATACAGCTATAAGGTGTAATGTATAAAATGTAATTTAATGTTACACTAATCAACATGGTACTGACACAAACCCTAACAGATAGATAAAAAGAACAAAATAGAAAACATAGAATAAAATTTTATATGTTAATAGTGGTATTTCATCTCAGGGAAGAAAGAATGGATTATTCAAAAAATATTGCTGGAACAACTAATTAACCATTTAGAATAAAAATAAAATTAAATCCCTCCTATCCCAAAATGGAATAATCCAGATTGATTATAGATTTAAATGTAAAAATTAAAATAAAAGATGCATCTGAAAAAAATCAGTGAAATTTTACATAATCTTTTGGTGGAGAAGTTATTGCTAAGAAATATATCAAATATAGGCAAAATAAAGGAAAGATGCATAGATTTGAATGCATATACATTTAAAACTTCTATAGCAAACTATTAATTGGGGAAAATAAAACATACATGATAGAAAAGATAGTAGTCATGAAAAATTGTGAGTTTTTATAAATTTATAAAATGAAAATAAATACCCAAAGAGAAAAAACAGACAAAAAATATGATCAGGTAACTCATTTTAACAAAAACACATACAAATAGCCAATATATATTTGGAAAAAAAATTTAGAAGTTTATCCATTCTGTGTGTGTGTGTGTGTGTGTGTGTGTGTGTGTGTGTGTGTGTGTGTGTGGCTGGTAAGGGGATCATAACCCCTTACTCGGTGTGGTCTACCGCGCTCAGCCAGTGAGCACATCGGCCATCCCTACGTAGGATCCGAACTCGCAGCCTCGGCGCTCCCAGCTCCTCACTCACCCAAGTGAGCCACGGGGCCAGCCCAGAAGTTTATCCATTCCAATAATCAAAGAGTTGAATTTAAAATGAGATTCCATTATTTGCTATCAGTTTGCAAATACCCAGGGTTAGTACAGCTTGGAGGAATGGACTTCTCATTGCTGGTGGGAATGTCCCCATCTTACTGAAGAGCAATTTGACCATATGCGTTCTCCAAAGCCTATGAGAAGAGCACACCATTTGACCCAATGGTTTCACTTCTAGAAATGTTCCTATGAAAAAGATCTGAAATTTATGTATAGGGATGTAGAAGGGGCCCACACATAAGTAGAACAGATAAAATCAGCGGCAGAGATGTTTTCTAGGTTGATACTCTATGTGAGTTCTGAGGTATTTATTATATCATTTACTTACAGTAATTTTCATACTAAGTTTTTTTGTTTGGTTGTAGTTTTGAGGTGTTTTCTTGTTTTTCGACAGCTGGCAGGTACAGGGATCTGAACTCTTGACCTTGCTGTTATAACACCACTCTCTAGCCAATTGAGCTAACCTGCCAGCCTATTTATGGTAATTTTTGCCCATATGTTTTAACAGTGGCTGCCTTCTCACAGCATGTAAACATTTTAATTGTGTATTTGCTGCTACAGGATTTGAGAGTTCACCAAAGCAAGAACTGGTTGGCTCTATGGATGGAATCAGAGAGGGCCCCTTTAAAAGTTTTTTGTTTGGTTTTTGGTTTTGTTTTCTTTAGGGGCAAAATTTTTAAGTATTACATGATCCTGAGCATCAAGCAGTGAAATTACACCTAAAACTTTAGCATATTTCCTTGCATACTTAATAAGTCTTGTGGCTGCTATAAATGGGATGACTTGTCTGATGGACAAGGAGCGTAAGAGGAATCTCCTTGCTGAACTGGCAAACAGCACACTCTCCAGTTCAAGCTGACCACAGGATGTCCCTAGAAGTAACTCAGCCTCTAACATGAGCTGGAGACAAACATGCCTCCCCACCCCTCCCCAGCTAGGAGAAGAGCGCTGGAGTTGCAAGTCTGAAGCCTTCTATTCTGACTCTGATGCTGCCATTACATAGAGTGACATCATGTGCAAGTCAGTTACCTCTCCACGACTCCCGATGCCTGCCCCACCTCTCCATCTAGCTCACAAGGCTGGGGCGAGGAGCAAGTTCGCCAAGGAGATACACCCTTCTTGAAAAATTAGCTATTGGTCATGAGAATTGTTATTCAAATGAAATAAATGTCGAGTAAGCCATAAGCCAGGAAAGTCTCTAAAACACTGTGAAATAAGATGATGCAACCAAAAAGACCAAGACGAGGTTCTGGTGACCAAAAAGGAATTCAGGAGAGAAAGGAGAGTTTGGAAAAAAGTCTGTTTCTTTGGTACCATCTGTGGAATTCAAGATAATTATTTCCATTTCTTTAGGCAGGAATAACACCTTACATAACCAAAGCACTTTCACACCTTGTCATCACAGCTGATTTTCACAATAGCTCTGTCTGTCAGGAAGAAAATACATCAAGCCATGTAACCAAACACTCAGTTTCTCATCCCCACTTAACTGCTCAACAAGCAACCGAAGGGCCTAGGACTCTTTTCAGGATAACACACACATCTGCAACGTGCTCTTTCTGCTGGAAAAAATGCACATACACACATTGTGGAGCTCATTCCTTCCTGAAACCCAGGGACTCTGTGTTAAGCTGAATGGACCTCCTAAACTTCAAAAGGTGCCCCCGGGCTCTAATATACTTAGATATGGCAACCAAATCCACACCCAGCCCTCCCGATTTCTTAGAACTCAACTGTATCTCCTCTCCACCTTGGTCATGCCAGCGCCTCTTTCCTCTGGAACCTTCTCCAGCTCTCTGTCGCAGGTCACTCTTGAAATGGAAGGGAGATGACAGTCCCGCGGACTGTTTCCAGTGTACATGGACTCATCTATGCACGTGTTGATTTTAAATATTAAAAGCAACCCAGAGACAAAGAAAAGATCCTTGTAAGAAACATATCAGTTTAAACAACCAGAACCTCCACAAGCCATTGAAAGTCAAGAGGGCAGGGATGACCTCTCAGTCAGAGCCTCGCTCCCTCCACCCGGGTGTTTCTTGGTCTGATGTCCCCAGGGCTCCAGCGAGCACTTGTCCCCCAGCCCCGGCAGGGCTGGCTGCCTCGCCCACCCGTGGTCCTCCTTCTTTTCCACCTCTGGGTCTTCCTACCCCCTTCTCCAAGGGAGACCCCCATGCAGAATGTGGCCGAGATCAACGCACCAACTGGCAGCCGAACTGCGAATGCCAAGAGCCGGGAGCCGAGAGCAAGGGGGCCGCGACCGCCGCCCGCCGCTCCCGCGGGTGAGCGCTCCCGGGTTGCCCGGACACCGCCGCTTCCGGCCGGCGCGGGCTCCGGCCCTCGGTACGGGATGGGGTCTCCTAAGAGGTGCAGCTCTAGAGGCTCCAAGGCCGGGCGTCGTAGGCACGGACTGCTGGAAAAGCCACGTAGTGTTTTGGGATTTTTTTTTTTTTTTTTTTTTGAGTGTGGTTATTTTCCAGGCAATTTTCGTTATTAGAGCTGTTTCCTCTGGTGTCAGCGAAGGACGCGCCCTCCACAGAGCTTGCAGATGTCTGCTTATAATTGCATTGATTACACAGGATTCACCTGCCACTGACAGAGCGCCTTTTCTGGGCCAGGCGCCCTGCTGGAGGTTATCTTCCTTCGGCAGCCAGCTGCATTTTTCAAAATAGAAAACTGAATTTGAGCAAAGCCTAGCTCAAGGTCACCCAGAAAAACTGAGATTCACGTCCAAGTTTCCTCATTCCGAGCCACCAGTCTTTCCATCATATCAACTTAAATTTCTCTTCCTAATCCTTCCCAGTATCTAATAAATCTTGCACAGAAAGCTTTTCTCCAAGCCTAGCTTAAGTCCCCCAAATCAAATTTAGACCTCGTTTCTCCCTTAGTGAAATGAAAAAAATTAGAATGTGTTTTTATTTTTAATAAAAATTTTTTCTGATTATAAACAAAATAAATGGTAATTGTAGACATCTTGGAAAATATAGAAAAGTGTCGTTGATACCCATAGTCCCACAATCCAGAGATCAACCACTTTTTCTGGATACCTATTGCTATATAACAAATCACCCACAAATTCTGTTGCTTTCATAACGTCATTATTATCTCCAGAATCTAAGGGTTGGCTAGGTTGTTCTGCTTGGCATCTCTCACGCTTTTGTAGTCAGAGGTGGCTGGAGCTTCCTCACTCATATGTCTGGTGATTGACATTGGTAGAAGAGGTAACTGCTCTATAATAAAAATGTTAGCTAGTCAAGGGTTCAGATCCCCATACTGGCCACTGCCAAAAAACAAAAACAAAAAAATGTTAGCTGGATACACAATGGAATACTACTCAGCCATAAAAAGGAAATGAAATTCTGCCATTTGCAGCAACATGGATGAGCTTGGAGAAAATTATGTTAAGCAAAGTAAACAAGGCACAGAAAGAAATACCACATGTTCTCACTCATATGTGGAAGCTAAAATAGTTGATCTCATAGAAGTAGAGAGTAGAATAGTGGTTACACTAGAGATTGGTAGAGGGAAGGGGTGGGGGGTGGGGAGAGGGTGGTCAGTGGATACAAAACAGTACAGAGATAGGAAGAATGGAATCTAGTGTTCTACAGTAATATAGGGAGACTAGTTAACAACAAAGTACTGTGTAACTTTGAATAGCTAGTCGAGATGGTGTTAAATGTTCCTACACAAAGAACTGACAAATGTCTGAGGTACCCTGATATGGTTACCACTCATGGTATGAATGTACCCAAATATCATGTTGTATTCCATAAATATATACAATTATCTTGGGTCAATTAAGAAAAATAACTAAAAAGAGAGAATGACAGAGAGTGAAATAGAGAGTAGAATAGTGGTTGCCAGAAGCAAGGAAAAGAAGTGGGGAAAGTGGGCTGGGGAAAGGTTGGTAGACAGGTACAAAGTTACAGTCAGATAGGAAGAGTAAGCTCCAGTGCTCTAGGATGACAGTAGCTAAAAATATTATATTTTATATCACAAGACAGCCAGAAAAGAGGATCTTGAATGTTGTAACCACAAAGAAATGAGAATGTTTAGGTGATAGATATGATAACTATTCTGATCAGATCATTATACAATATATGCATGTGTTGAAACAATAAACTGTACCCCATAAACATATACAATGAAAGGAATAAATTTATTCATCTATTTATTTATTTATTTATTTTTTTTACATTCTATGATGTTGTTCCAAAGCAGTTGGGAGGGAGAGAGGAAAGGGGAAGGAAAATGTGATGGAAAAAGGAGGAAGGAGGAGGGGTAGGATTGAGGCCTGTGGCACCCCCATCATTCCCACAGGGGAGACTGGGGGGCTTCCAGCAGTGGCTTGGTCATTGCTGGGCTGGGTGCAGATATCGGGGGTGTGTGGCAAAAGCCCTCACCTCCCACCACCCCAGCTCGGGAACCTGGGGCCCTTTTTGCTGCGGCTTAGTGGTTGTCACTGGGCTGGTTGCACATGTCGGGGGGTTGTGACCAAGGCCCGAGACCCCCACCCTTGGGACTGCTTGCGGGTGTCAGGGGGCATGGCTGAGACTCCCAGCCCTCTCCACTTTCTGGTTTGGTAGCCCAGGGGACTTTCAGTCCTTGTAGGTGTTATAGGTGTTCTTTGGTGAAATGAGACTTTTACTCGTTAATATCAAACTTTGTCTCTGGTTGTGGGTACTCTGGTTTTTCTTTCATTTCTGCGTTGGATTATTTGCTGTTCCCACCACTCAAACTCTGCACTGGAACTAATTTGTTGTCCTTTGCTTACTTCTAAAATGGGGGAAATTCCTGTGAGGACCAGCACTTGAGCTCTGTGGTTGAGCTAAATTGCTGTTTTGCTGCTGATTCCCTAGGGAAGGCTTTTTGTGCAGCTCAGGTTTTAATGGTTGACTTTATAGGTACTTCTGGCTCTAGTGAAAGCTGATGTACCTGGGTTGTATAGAAACTCTGGTCTTGGCCTGAGTCTTTTCATCAAACTGCGCCCCATGCAATTCTATATTCCTGACCAGTCTCCTCTGAGTGGTCCTGTGCTGATTGGGGGACAGATCAGCTGTCCTTGCTGTGTCCCAGTGTTTTCCCAGTGGGCCCGTCTCCCCCACTGCCCATGCTCCAAATACTTCCCATGGGAAGGGCCATGTTCCGGTCCCTTGCAATGACTCACCAGCCTCCGAGGGGCTCCTTTTTTTCAGTTGTTGTGGCTCCTCAGTCCTATGTGAGTCCAAGAGAGCCCTATTAGCGGTCTTGCTGGTCTGGGGGCCACCAAGGCCTTCTTCTCCCCTGCTGCCTCCAAGCAACTTCATCCAAAGTGCACAGCTGCGGATTTTGCCGGCTCCTGCTCCACGTGCTCAGCAGATCCAGCCTGGAAGCAGCCAGAGCTTGAAACGGTTGGAGCAGTTCTTTCTTTCTCTCATCATGACTTCTCCACTTTCATGTACTCTGTAGGTCTCTCCTCCTCCTCCCCTGAGCTCTAGCAGCCCCAGCTTGGCTGTCATTGCTTTTTTTTTTTTTTTTAACTTTTCAATATACATTGTAGTTGATGTTGTTGCTTTTCTATAGTTGTAAATTGGTTGATTTGAGGAAGAGAGTGACGCTGGGGACTGTCTATTCCATCATCTTGACTGGAAGTCCTGAAAGAAATAAATTTAAAACAATGTCAGCTGAGCAACTGTATAGTTATTGATGGCTTCATCCAAGATGCTGCAATTACAGGAAGAATAGATTTTTGTCTGTTTTGCTCACTGCTACATGCTAAGCACCTAGCATAGTGCCTGGCACATATAGGTGCTCAATAACTAGTTGTTTAATGAGTGAATACGTGGGTGGGTGGATAGATGGATGATCAAAATGGTCTGAGCTGAGTCCCTCCCTCTCCTGTTTGCATCCTCTTGAGAGGAAAGAGACCAGGTTCCTAACCTGCACCACCAGGTTCCACGATATCAAGACCCATCTATTGGTCCAGTGATTGCAAGCAGATGAGTGAATCTCAGAATGAAAATTCTGTATCATTCTCGGTGAGTCCTATGAACTGTGACTCAGAAATGACTCTGCATTATTACTCTGCAGTTTAAAACCCCCTGGGCCACTTTGGGCAAGTTTTTGATGCCTGCTGCAGTGGGCCTGCTCACACTGTGGTCCCTGAGGTCTGGCAGGGCACGAGAGCCACCTAAGGGGTTCTTCCAGCCATGGAGCTGCCTGTGCTCAGCTTGGCCTCCCACGCAGTCCAGACTGGAGCCCCAAGCTTCCTGCATGCAGCAGAGGTCGGAGTTGGGGGTGCTAAGCATGTCAAGAAGTCCAAGACCTCCTGAAGCTCTCAGAAAACCCTGCCCATATAGCCGGGAGTGTGAGCACCACTGTGAAAGAAGAAAGGCTTTTCCAGACTCTGGCTTTGTGCCCCAAACCAAGGCCAGTCTGGAGGTCACCATGGAACCCGTGCAAGGACAGGGAGGCCTGACTCGAGCAGTGGGGTTGTTCCCAGGTACTCGAGGTCAACTCAGCCAACTCTCCAGCTTTAGGGCCCTCCTTCCCGCACTACAGTCCAGGATCCTGATGTGCCAGGAGGCTGACTCTCCTGGATCTGAACGAGCCCAGGAAACTTGAGACTCCATACCACGACTAGTACATACAGTAGTTCCCCCTTATCCGTAAGGGATACATTCCAAGACCCCCACCGAATGCATGAAACTGTGGAGAGTATGAAACCCAATATATACTATGCACAAATTTATTTTCTTCCTTCCACAATTTCACAGATAGAAGATTCGTTCTTACCCAAGATCTTAGCGACCTCAGCACAATATTTTTTTTTCTTTCCTTAAGTTGAGAACTTTCAACTTTTCACTGAAGAGAAGCACTTTACAGCTTCTCTTTGGCATATCTGAATTGCCAGCATCACTGCTCTTCTGCTTTGGGGCCATAATTAAGTAAAACGAGGGTTACTTGAGCACAAGCACTGCAGTACCACGACAGTCGATATGATAACCTAGCCAGCTATGAAGTGACCAGTGGGTGGGTAGTATATGCAGCGTGGATACACTAGACAAAGGGAGGATTCGCAGCACAAGATTTCATCATGCTACTCAGAGTGATGCACAATTTAAAACTTGTGAATGGTTTATTCCTGGAATTTTCCACTTAATATTTTCGGACTGTGGTTGATCAGAGGGTAACTGAAACTGTAGAAAGCGAAACTGTAGACAATGGGGGACTACTGTATAGGGTTTT